GGTTCAAAAATCTCTTTTACTGGCTAAAGCCATCCGAAACGCTATAAAACGACTGCATATTCCGATGAGCATAAAAACTTAATACGATTTTGGAGAAGCTCGATGGAATGTTGGAATGTTTTGCTTGTGTTGTAAAAACAGGCTACAACCTCTTCCTTTCAGAAAAATGTATACAACCAAATATTTTGAAAAGTTAAGATTTCCTTTAACTAAACAGTACGATCACGGATTTGACAATCCGGTCCTGTGTTTGACTCACAAGGGACGGCCTATTTCATTCCCCCTATTCCCCGTTCTCCATTCTCCGGGTCCAATTTTGTGTATGTCATCGAGAAACGTGACTCAACTACGAATTTTACTCGAGAGGAAATTGTTTTATATCAGTTGGCAGCCATGCTTGGCTGCGATTTACATTTTTCCTGGCCTGAATATCTTTATAGGGGGCGATGCGATAATAGAATCTGCTCAGGCAAATTTGTGAAGCGTCGAGATGCGACGACGCTACCCACTGGGATACATCTGAATAATTGATAATGGTAATGAATGAGATAACTTTTCTTTTTGTCATTAAAAATTAGGCAGATAAGCAAGTTATTGGCCGTAGAAAAATGGAAACTTTATTACTGTGCAGTATATCCAGTATGGATAATAAAGTTTATACCCATCAATCGCAATACACTGTTTGGTTACAACCAGTGAAGTTTAAGTAGTAAGATTTTATTTATCAGCACGTTTATTCTTTGTTCTTAAGAAGATCGCCAGTTTTCCAAATGTTAAGGAATTGCCAATCGACAGTAGGTAGTTTGCTGGCTTCAGGAGAAAAAACTCAAAAATATTTATCAATGCTATAGAAGTTGCTGCATCAGGTTCGTCTATTTCAATTTTTGATGCGGCAACATCCGTAAGTGATGTTCTTGTTTCTCATGCAGCTACAAATAACTCTCAGGCAATATTTCTCTGTTGAGGACGTTCGAGTCCTAGGTATTTAAGTAAAAGATTCTCGGATTGCTATATTTTCAAGTCCAGTCGAGTTTCATCTTCATTCTGTCGATAGTAAGAAGTAGTCAATTACTGACGGAAATGTGAACTACCCTGAGTTTGTCCTGGAGGTCAGCCATGTGAACTGAAATTTCAGCTCCGTCTACAGGGAGCTTAATTATTTATCTTCCAGTCAATAGTATCGATGGTGGATAGCTGGTAGGTTCATGCTGAGAGCTTCTATAAGTCCGTTTATCCTAGTCTCTCTGACGTTCATCAACAAACATTGGCAGATACCTATTGATATGATTTTCTGATTGGGATTTGGGCATCTCGTCCTTTGCGGCAGACTGTATAGATGAAGTGGAGTGATTCTCCTTTTTCTTATTTCCAGTGACCTCATTAATTGTTTTCGTACTACGGACTTAGACTTATATTCTTGATCGGTATGAAGGTCTAATGTTCCTGGTTATGATATTCACCACTAATAACTTTCCAGTAACTATAACCGCTCCTTCAGTGCGGATTGGAATTTCTTCTGTCCAATCTGAAAAAGAGTACGACCATGAGGTACTCATCTTCCCTCTATTATGCGAAATGATTCTACGATATCTTTAGCAATTATCTCACAGGCTAGACAAGAACTGCTTTATTCCTCCTCCAGACTGAATCCTGGGCCCTTTTTCCGAAGCACAAAGGTTGCGTATCTTTCTTGCACTATTCTTCAAAACCCTTAGGACATTTGGTACAATAATACCGATCTTATGCTCGAGTCAGCTTCTAATTTACTACCAAGTCGCGACCACTCCGTGCAGATATAGGTACTAAGATTTTTCCAACTAGAATCCCCCATTCATGACTAATTGAAGTGAGTCATCTCACAGGCATAACGAATCCTCTTGAATCCAGCATTCATTCACCGTTTGCACCAAACTGGAAAATCCATGTCCTTGTCGGTGTTCCACTAAGCCCCACAAGATTTTCCATACCTTGTCAGCATTTTATTTTTTCTTGAACTTATCGAAATCATTGGGTAAAGTCCCCGTCAAAATTAGTACCCAGTTTTGGGTTTCTTGGCCCTTATATTGAACAAGTCCAGTCGAATTGGCTGCCTCCTGCCTTTACTACAATTATTACATGGAAAGACGGACACTGCCACTTTGTTACGCGCAAAACGCGAGGGAGAAGTAAATAATGAAACTTGAAGGAAGTGGGACAGTGAATGGGTAACTAAAAAAAAAAAAAAAGAATAGAAAGAAGGGGTTGGTTGGTGGCTGAAATCTAGAAACGTGATTTCGTGTAAAGGGTTGCCGACTAGCTTCCAATACGGAGAGGGGTGTGGGTCAATTAAATAACTAAATATAGAGCGCCACCTGCTTTTTCCCTGCAGTACACGAAATCAACCGATATAACGAAAGCAGGAAACTTCTACGGACCTATAGCAGCACAAGCTGAAATATAAATGTAAACAAGAAGGAAGGACAAAAGTGAAACGCTTTGCTACAATCAGGTACGGGTTTTAATTAGAACCAGAACAAGACAGGTTTGATTCCAGAGCAGCTTCGGAGTGGGTTTTCCGACCGCCCTAGAACACTGAAAATTATTTACACTGGAACCAGAACAAGAAAAGAAATCGTCTAGAAGTATCTAACCATATGTTCTTAAAATAGTATTTACAATAATGATTAATTACACTCAACTTGAGTCCCTAAATAAATAAATAAAAAGTATAACAATTAACAGCAATAATACCTGAAATATAAATTAATAAATAAGCTTACTAGATGCAGTACCTTCGTAAATGGCCATTCAACCCCAGTGTACAAGTATTTCCTGTATTCAGTGCAGCATGTATTTATGGGATAGTTATGAGAGAAATATAGATCAATAATTAAAGTTGAAGTAACAATAAATAGCCTGAGGGGCAAATTTAATATTATGGAATAATATAGAAGGTATAGATAAATACTTAAAATTGAAGTACCTAATAGTACATAACCTAAATGGTAAATTTCATATGATAAAGGTAATATAGAAAATTAATTAAAATTTAAATAAAAACACATAATTCTGAAGAGTAATTTAATACTGTCGTAGAACTGCGTTGTTGTGGTGATTTACTCCAACAAGGGGTTAGTAAGGTTTGATATTAAGACAATACAACACACTTATCAAACCTGAGTAGTCCCTAAACTCTTGGAGAGAACCTGACAGGTGGGATCAATATCTTCCAGTGTTTCCAATGACCTGGGACTGGATCAGGGCCGCAACAAGAAGCAACCTGGCCCTGGGCACTGAAGTTCAGTAACTAGGAGTCACTAAGGCTTCCAATGGTCTAGAGGAGGCTGAAGATTGTAGGTACTACTTGAAATATACAGTAAGCTGAACGTATAACTCTTTACTGAAAGTCAGGGACTAAAGGGTGACGAATAAAAGGTGACATCTAAAGGTAAACATTAAAGCGTAACTTCTAAAGGTGAAGATTAAAGTGTAACTTCTAAAGGTGATGAATAAACGCCTGAAACAAATGGACGTTATGAGACAGGGCGTGGAGCAATAGGTAAGTATGTCCGATATTCAGTATAATTAACAGAAAACTATGCTTTTACATAGGAAATAGAGAAATACAGAGAAGATTAATAAGAAAAACGACTTACCAAAATACTTTGGCCTTTAGGAACAAACAATTGGTCACGTTGCTCTTTTTCGACTCACAAAAAAAATCCGCACAAGGCGATTGGGTGCTAAAATAACGGACTAGCCACCCTAGATCTATGAGCGAAAACTAGACAACTCAGAAAATCGGCAAAATGTGCCTGAGGAATTTTCCCGAACACTTAATCGTGAATCGTGAATCGTCCTCGACCTGAATGACCTCTGCTTGTTCCTGCAATGTCCTTTAAAAAGGTTCTGTCACAACTCCAAGGTGGAAGGTACTGGGGAATTTTGATGGTAGTTGGGGCATGGGACTTATTCAAGTTAAGTTAGTACCGGTCATTGACCCTATTTGGAGCGCTGTCAATCTAGTCAATCTACTTGGATCAGACAATCAGCTGTTCCAATGTAAATATTGTAATGTTATTTATTAATAAATTAACTGACTATTTATTTTAACTCTACCAAAAGGAAATCAATTCCATTATTAAACCTCTAACTTAATAATTCTGGGAAGAACGAAAAGTTCAATGAAAAGTGTGACCACAATTATCGGATAGAAAACAATGGCTTGAGGAAGGTATGCTATTCAGAGAGGCGAATAAGCTTATTTCCTTTTATTTTGGCCCGGGAAAAATCATCCCGTAACACAATATCAAGCACTTCGTGATAGGATAGACATGAGTATTGGTATGACTTTTTCCTTTCCGATATTCGAAATGGAATTCGTAGCTTTGCAATTTCTCTGACCACAAAAATTTAGCAGCTAGTGCGAAGTGGATTGGTCGGTTCTAACTATAGGAACTTCCGTATATAAAATCATACGGGGTCGTGTTCAGCGGATCTTACAAGGGTAAGAGTGAAAAGTAGTAAAAGTAAAATAATGTCCCATTATAATGCATTGCCATGCACAAAAGTACTTAAAATGTCTAATAACTCTCTATTCTCATTGTAAGAACCCAGGAATAATTGAAAAATACACACCCTCCACTCAACTATTATGTCCTTTCTTGACACTTTGTCCATTGTGGTCGTATTTGAAACCTAATACACTCAGATCAAAGATTGAAGTTTTAGGTAAAACGCCCTTTTGTACCCTGATTCAAACGCAATTTATGGGAAAATCGGATTAGGGATTATGGTTGTGTATAAGAATTTGCAATTCGAGCTTAAATGACGCCTTATGTTGTCAAAAGGCTATATTTTTATACAATTTCTTATAAATTGAACTTAAACAGTTGATAAATGCGAAAACTGAAATATATCATAAGATTATCAGGATTATTTTTTAATCATCTATAAAGCTAATCTAAATTTATGTAAAGATAATCTACAAAATAGATTCAGTATTAAATGTAAGTAATTATTTTTCAATCAATTTGGTTATAAATAAGAATGGAGTAGGTACACAGGCAACATCATGTTTTACAAACATAGTTTTACATTTCTCTGTCCGTTAATAGTTTTATGTTCAATATTCGGAATATGTCCATCAGTATTTACTCGCAGTGCATCAGTGAGGAAGAATAATTTTTTGTGGTACCAAATATATTGTACCATCCTAATGACGTTATCTCTCGGAACCACCGCGTATGTGTTGTACAAGAAGGATGAAAGTACAGTGCCTTATGCCGTACACGTTGCTGATACTTTTGTACATTTTGCTTTGAGTGTTACGACACTTTGCATGTTTGTCAGTTCAGTTTACAGCTCAAAAGGTAGAAAATATAATATTTTGTTTCCTTATTTCCTATAGAATATTGTAATTGTTAGGTTTTCTCCTCAATAGAATGTTTAAGAAAATGGACTACGTAGATGACCAACTTAAATATAGCATTATTTATCAAAAACGAAGACTATTCACCGGCATTTTCATTTATTGTTTTTTAATTATAATTTACTTAATTTACGACACTTTTACCTGGGGAAGCTTTCTTGATGGCAGCCAAGAATATTTTTTCTACAATTTACCAAAAAATTTCCAAATTTCTCAGTTTTCTATTGGAATGTTATTGCCAATGTCTGTGCTGATTTTGAATTATCTTAAAATAAAAGGTTTGTATCATTTTATGGAAAAATAAAAATTAATTATTATTCAAGGTTTTAATAGAGCTTTAAAAAATTACTCGAAATTAAACTATATCCAAGCTGCCCAATCTGAAGCCAACGAGAATAATAAAAACTTCTTCAAACAAATGTGCCACGTGCATACAACCATATATGAAATCGTCGAGAATTTCAATAAAATATTTGGAACAGCTCTGTTAGTTGGTACTTTAATGGGGATTGGCTTGGTTTTACACTATATTATCATTTTGTTAGTGTATTTTCAGTTTAATGGCAATTGGAAAGGAGCTACTAAATATAAATACTATGTGTTAGCTCAGTGCATTAATGGAATGTTGATCCCTTTGGTAATATACTAAAATTTTATTGTAAATTAATTATTGATAATTATTTTTTCTAGCTACAAATGTTACTACTAGCAACTATAGGCGACCGGGTAGCCTTTGAAGCTTCGAAATCCTCAAATCTTTGCCTGGCACTCCTCAATAAATTCCCAGCCTATTCAACTTATGATTGGGAAAGAGAAATTATCGAAGAACTCAAAACTTTAATGCTACAATGCTCATTTAGAAACATAGTGATAACAGCCAAAAGGTTTTATAGTGTTAACCATACTATGTTGGGTTTTGTGATAACATCGCTAGTGACGAATATTATTGTGATTATGCAGTTTCTTGGAACGAATAAATAGAGGATTTATAAAGTTTTCATGTTTACTTTAAAGTTAATAGTATGCAAATTATAGAGCTCTAGGAGAAATACTGGGGTTGGATGTTGGACCAGCTCGATTCGAATCAAGCCTGTAAAGAGCTGCGATCATCTCTTATAAAGCTCCATCTGGGTATTTTTTTGTTACTTTTGGCAGCAAAATTTCCTTTAGTTTTGTGATCTTGTGGTTTCTATTATGATTACATTTATTTTTAAATCCGTAATATCATTTATGTCATTCCAGATTATTATTTGAAAATAATATACCTATTTTCAGAAATATTATGCGCGAAGTAATGCCCTAGGTCTATTTTTCAATGAGATGTTAGTGTTGTCTTGTATGGGGATTTCAATCGCCCCAAAGTAAGGTGGATGATCCATATGGTCCCAGTTTTCAGGGAAAAAATAGTGAGGAGACTAAAGTGTTATCAGATTGTATGGCTTCTTTTAATTCACATCAGGTAAATAACATTCCCATTGCTTATGGTAATTTTTTGGATCTGGTGTTCTGTAACAAAGACCTATCTGTGAAAGTAAGCTCAAATCCAATATTACAGATTGATGTACCACATCCCGCACTCGAGTTTGAGTTAGATGTGAATGTGAGTAACAATGACAATGTTTTCAATGCATATAATTACAGTTATTATAATTATAGATTGGCAAATTATGTAAAAATTAATGAAGGCTTATCTGTGATTGATTGGGATCAGATGATATTGTGTCACTGGGCAGCACAAATGAGTGTGTTGATGCTTTTTATAATGTTCTATTTTATTTTATCTACAAGCGTAACTAAGGTATATTACACGATTTTGCGTGCGGTAAGTAACATATTACCGCACAGCGTGCAGTAATATTATCACTGCACTCTCTACCTACATAGGTACGTACCTTCAATTACCTACCAGAGATAAATTGCCTACCTATCACCTACATTCTACTTATCCACTGTCAAAGGTGACAGACGATTTTTTTTTAAATAATTTTTTAAATTTCTTTCCGATAATGTGTTACCGCATGCTTGTAGATAAAATACTGTATATAATACGTATGATAATTAGGTTATTACCGCCCTTAGAGATTGCAAACCTCGCCTCACCGGCTCGGTTTGCAAATTCCTCTCGCGTGCGGTAATAACCTAATTATTGACTTGTATACTCCAATATGTCAGCATAAAAAACCCAAATTTCCAAAATGGATGAATAATCCAATGAAGGGACTAATATTAGAAAAAAAATCAGCTCATAAAAAACTTAAATCCTCAGGCTCAGTTGAAGATTATAGTAGGTTCTCAGAGCTAAGGACAGAATGTCGTGTATACTCAAAAATTTGTTCATGTCAACCATGAGCTTTCAAATAATACCTTTCCTTATCAACATTCTGTGGATATGGGAACCTGTCAGATATTGGTCATTGATGTTTTCAATAAAATAACAAGCTTAAAAGACTCATTGGGTTGTGGCCCAGATGGCATATCTGTTTTCTTTTTAAAACATTGTAAATTTGTTACTTCTGACGTGTTATGTAGAATTTTTAACAGATCAATATCGTGTGGTTTTTTTCCGGATCTCTGGAAGAGGAGCTATGTTACTCCAATCTTTAAAGATAAGGAAAGGATTGATGTTAAAAATTATAGAGCGATCTCAAGGAACTCCATAGTTCCGAAGGCTATAGTAGCAGATAAAATGTATCCCTTATTTCAAAAAATATAAATGTCAAGTGTCATCTCAGTCATTTCATCTGGTGTACCCCAAGGGGGTCCTCTATCACCTCTGTTTTTTGGCTGCTTTGTTAATGACGCGAAAGAGATGTTTTTGTTCTCCCTTTTTTTGTTTCTGGCAGATGATTTAAAAGTATTTAGAATAGTTAAAAATCTGGGGGATGCTCAGCTTTTGCCGGACGATCTGAGTAGGTTCGTTGATTGGTGTTCTCTTAATAACTTATCATTTCACATTTTTCAGTATTCAATGTCATCCTTCTTTAGAACAGAAAAACCAATTAATTTTCCTTATTCTATTAAGGGCAATACTTTGGAAATGGTTAGTTTAATAAGGAACTTGGGAGTGTGCCCCAGTAGCACACAATGTTGGTCCCATGTTGCGGATACATTGGACCAATATTGTATGTTGGCCCAATATTGGCATTTTCCAGCCAACATTGGACATTTATTGGCAATACAACTTCTTTCATCATTAAAATAATATATTTATCCAAGAATGGGCCAATATGCACAAACAATATTTTTATCGGCAGCATAGAGCCAAGATTGGTTATATATTGTCAATACATATTTTTCCATATTGTAATATTACATTTATATAAGAATGGGCTAATATACACAAAAAATGTCTATATTGACATTATTTAGACAAAATTGGTTGATTATTGGAAATACAACTTTTTCTAATATTACCATAGTAATGTATCCATTAATGGACCAATATGCACAGATAATGTTTTTATTTGCATTATTGAGCCAATATTGGATATATAATGGCAAAACAAATTTTTCTAATATAACAGTGATATATTTATCCATTAGCCCAATATGGATTCTATATTAGTAAAATATTGTGTATGGGTGTATTGGCAATTTGTAGCCAATGTTGATAATATATAGGAGATTAACCTTTTGCCTACATTATTATTACTAAATAATATGTGAATCCAATATTGATCCAATATGGATAATCCATATTTGGCAATAACTTTTAGTCATGTTTATATTTAATATTTATCCAATATTGGTGATATATAGGGTGTCCACTTAGTGCGATATCGGACGATATCTTCTTACAGGGTGATGCAAGAAAAAAAAATTAAATTACAAAGTTGTTTGATACTCTAATGTGCATTAGTTAAAAATATTGTCGAATATACAGAGTGCTCCTTTTATGGAGTGTGCGACAGAACTTTGTTTTTTTTTTTTAAATTGAACATCCTGTATGTGATGGCATATTTGGATTTTGCGTCAAATTCTGAGCAGATTTCATGTGATATACCCTATACCTAAGTTCAACTGTTTCGGAAATATTGACAGTTGAAAATTGACTTTTTGCAACTTTGACAGGCTGTAAAACCTAAACGGTTAATTTTAGACGAAAACCGATTTCACAATCCTATCTTAGAATCTCATAAACTATCATTTGACACCAACTTTGAATTTAATCCATGATTAAAAATTCCAAAATTTAATCTCCGGTTAAATTCAATAATGGTGTCAAATGATAGTTCATGAAAATCTAAGATAAGAATGTAAAATTGGTTTTCCTCTAAAATTAACCGTTAAGGTTTTACAGCCTGTCAAAGTTGCAAAAAGTCAATATTCAACTGTCAATAGTTCGCAAACAGTGGAACTTAGGTGTAAGGTATATCACATGAAATCTGCTCAGAGTTTTACGTGGAATCCAAATATGCAATCATATACAGTGTGATTTTTTAAGTGTGCAACATATGGGGATTTTTTTTAGTGATAGCACAACCCAAATACAAACAAGGCCAAAAGTTGGTGCATGTCTGATAATCATATTAGGTGCACTTAGAATGGTTGTAAGTCCAACAGCATACAGGGTAGCTCAAAGAATATCAAAGCTGGTACTGTAAAGTACCCTTATTTTAGAAAATTCAGCAAAATGTTATAGAGAAAAGTTGTTTTGAATTAAAAGTTATGCCTAAATACCAAAACATGGCCTCCTAAGATTTTTTTTATTTTCTTTCGAAAAAAATCTATAATTTCTATATTTTTTTTATTTTTTATTCCGGCCCTTAAGACTTTCAAAAATTAATTAAAATCAAATCAATTTTACATAACTTTGTTCAAATTCAAGCATATTTGTAACTTAGATTTTTAATTTTTTATGGAATCACAAAATTCATGTTTGTTGCAATGATATTCAACACAACTTTAAAATGTCGCAATTTTTTTTTCAACAAGTTAAAACATTACTAATGATAATAGCCATATTAAAAAAACTCTCCTTAAAGTACAAAAGTTTTATTTTATTCAAGTAAGTATTACTAGAATTTTGATATTTTTTGAGCCACCCTGTATGCTGTTTGACTTGCAACCATTCTAAGTGCACCTAATATGATTATCAGACATGCACCAACTTTTGGCCTTGTTTATATTTTGATTGTGCTATTTGTAAAGTATACTGTGAAGGATCCGTTTTCAAAATTAAGCAGAGAATAATCGACACAAGATGTACTTGCAACAAACGTATATTTCATACTGTTCCTTTTACAGAGCTACCTGCTAAACCTTAAAGACTTTGCTATATCCTTTGTCATGCCGGCAAGGGTTTTATTGCCTTTAGTCATCGACATCACTAAAAATAGGGTTTTGGCGTGAGAATTTGTTTCCTGGTAATTTTCCATTTACATATTACTAAAAAAAAATCCCATATGTTGCACACTTAAGTAATGACACTGTATAGGGTGTTCCATTTAAAATAAAAAAGTTCTGTAGCATACCCCATAAACGGAGCACCATGTATATTTGAAAATATTATTAACTAATGTATCAGTATCAAACAACTTTGTAATTCAATCTTTTTTTCTTGCATCACCCTGTAAGGAGATATCGTCCGATATCGCACTAAGTGGACACCCTGTATAGGAGATGTACTTACATTTTCCATATCAATCAGGACTACCGAGAGAGGGCACCACGCGCTACTGATGGCCTCGATCTTTCCTAGAGTTTGAGTTTCCTTCAAACCTGTTTCTTTAAGTTGATGAGCTTTGCTAACAAGCACGAAATCGGAAACCGGTCTAGTCTGCGGGTGTTGGAGCTTTGGTTAAATACATGTGTTTTTCCAAAGAAATATTGGAGAAATATTTATATTCAATATCGGATTCATATAAGAAGTATATATTGTGCCAATCAGAAAAACAAATATTGGGTATATTTCTAAAAGCAATATTACATATTTATTAATTCGCAATATTGTGACAATATTTTTCTTCAATATCGGATTCA